CAACAAAAACAAACAGACAAACAAACAAACAGATAACAGATAAACAAGCAAATAAAAACACACACACACACACACACACACACACACACACAAGGAGAATGGATAAACTACTCGATCCATCAGCATAATATTTTGCATGTCTAGAATTTGAGAAGCTTGTTGATTGTTCAATTCGGCTTCTCCTGCGAGGTATTGCTGCATCAACACTTTCTCAACACATAAATTACCAGTCGCCTGTCTTGACAACCTTTTTGACGATTTGTTGTTGTTGTTATTGTTGTTGTTGTTGTTGTTGTTGTTGTTGTTGTTGTTGTTGTTGTTGTTGTTGTTGTTGTTGTTGTTGTTGTGGTTCTTCTTGTTCTTCTGCGTCTTCTTCTTCTTCTTCTTCTTCTTCTTCTTCTTCTTCTTCTTCTTCTTCTTCTTCTTCTTCTTCTTCTTCTTCTTCTTCTTCTTCTTCTTCTTCTTCTTCTTCTTCTTCTTCGTCTTCTTCGTCTTCTTCTTCTTCTTCTTCTTCTTCTTCTTCTTCTTCTTCTTCTTCTCCTCCTCCTCCTCCTCCTCCTCCTCCTCCTCCTCCTCCTCCTCCTCCTCCTCTTCCTCCTCCTCCTCTTCCTAATTCTTCTTCTTCTTCTTCTTCTTCTTCTTCTTCTTCTTCTTCTTCTTCTTCTTCTTCTTCTTCTTCTTCTTCTTCTTCTTCTTCTTCTTCTTCTTCTTCTTCTGTAACCCCCCCCCCTCCTATTCTACCTCCAGTAATTTTTTTTCTTCAAAATATTGGCGGCGGGTGCAAGATCTATATTTTTCTTGAACATCAAAACTGGAAATCTTTGTACAATTCCAGTTTCGTGCCAGAATCTCCCCGGTGGCTCGCTTCCAAACGTAGATTCGAAGAGTCCAAAGCTGTGCTGAAGAAAATGGCGACAGTCAACAAAAGGGAATTCCCGGAAGCCATGTTTGAGGAGGTGACGAGGGAATACGAGAGAGAGTACCTAATGACCACAGCAGGAAAGGACCCAACCTCTGAAGATGTCAAACAAGAGGTGAAAGAAAGCATGGCGATCAATCCAGATTCTTCTGCGACTGAAATCAAACTGTCGGAAAAGGATGAGAAAGAAAATATTACTTCCCTTTTCCGCTACAAGCTTACAGCGGCGAGATTTGTCATTGTTCTCTGGAATTGGTGAGTTATACCAGTCCCCGTATACTTGTTCCACTTTTTTGTATGTTTGTTTGAGTATAGAGAAGCCCATCGACACAATAAAGGTCATTTAGTGCTGGGAACAAGTAAGACAGACAGATTGGAACAACATGGGGAAAGTAAAAAAGTAGGGCATACCAGAGGTGCCTTCTATCCACTCGCACTTTTTCTGACCTCAAGCGAATCAGTTTGAGGCTAATGCCTGCCTTTCCCTTTGCTTCCATTACTCTATCGATTCTGATATACTTGATGTCATGATTACCTTTTAGAAAGCTTCTAAATTTGTCTTCAGCGCACGATTTAAAATTCGTAGTTAATCACAACAATTGTCCTCGTCACGAACGGATCCTCATGGACGCACAAATCGCGTATTTAAGACACAGATGTCATACAGACAAATATAAGTTAAGCAAACTGTCTTGTCCGAAGAAATGTCATAATAGTTAAAGGTCATTTTTTGTTCCTTTTTTGTTTGCAACAAAACGAGTTTAAATAGATCTTCCTCTTTTTTTAGGGGTGAATAAATCCCCACTTGGCATCTGCTATGAATGACCCACTGCTCTTGTAGATGAATGTTTTTTGTGTTTTTTCTTTTAGTAGAGAGTTTTACGGCGCTCACAACTGCATAAGGTCATATGAGCGCCAAAGGGTGGGTGTCAACAGAGAAGTCTTTACAGGGAATCAGACTTAGTCTGCTCACCTCTCTAGATTCAACAGCAAAAGGTCTGCTTCGACTATCAAGGCACCCCGTAAAAAGCAGGTCTCAAGAGAGTGACAAACAAACAAAAGAAGTAGAGGAAAATGACAATAGTAAGGATCAGGAAAGAAAAAGCAGCAGTACCCTGTTGTCGATCAGGCACAGTTATGAGCGTGATATGAGTCAGCCCATTTACAATTCTACTATTCTTGAACGAGAAATGCCCCCCCCCCCTTTGGGAATGGCCTAAAGACACTACAGTCAGTGGCACTGCCCCCGAGGGGAGGGGTATATGAATGTTTGATATAGTTAAAACGTACTTCCTTCATGTGGTCTAGTTATCTGGGTGAATCAGACATTGATGTTTTAGTGTCTAGTAGCTAGTAGGTCATGTCCTCTTAGTCTTAGTCTGTTTGCATTTTGTATTGTATGTCAGTTTGTCCTAGGAAACAGCTGGTTTCCTCCTCCTCCTCATCCTCCTCCTCCTCCTCCTCCTCCTCCTCCTCCTCCTCCTCCTCCTCCTCCTCCTCCAGGTCATATTTTTCTTCCTCATGGTCGTCCTCTTTCTCCTGCCACTTTATTCTATATTTTCCTTCTCTCACCCCCTTCTTACTTTTCTCATTGAGACATTTCCATAGATAGTTTCTCCCTTCTCTTATTGCTCCCTCCTGTCCTCATTTTCTAATATTATAGTCTTCTGGAAAAAGGGGTCAGTACGAAAGCTGTTTTAAAAAACAACTGTAAAACAGAAAGCGGACTTCGTGAGAAGACACACATTTTTCTCATGCCAAGTATGAGGGTTTTATAAATAAAATATTCCATTGTTATTATCAAGTGTGACAGTCAAGAAAAAAATCGCCCTCTTGCCTTTTCAAGTTGATACATTGATGTTATGCTGGACAGTCTATTCATACTCTTAAATTTGTCATAACATTTATGATATCATATTTATTGTTCATTTGTGTTTTATCATTATAAATGCTTGTTGTATACCTTAATGTAACCGCAGGTTTGCGTCTGGTCTGATTTATTACGGCGTCCTGTTGAATATGCAGAACCTTAGTGGCTCCATCTATGTGAATTTCAGGTAATATAATAATATTGTTTATATTTGTATAATTTTATTTTTTTAAGGAGGGGGGGGGGGTAATAAAGAAGATGAAGGGGAGAAAAGGGATGAGGACGAAGAGGTGGGTGAAGGAGGAGAAGGGCGAGACAGGAAGTTTACGGGAAGAATAAAGTTGTTTGGGGAGGGGAAGAGGAGGGACGGGAGGAGGAGAAAAGAAAATGAGAAATGAGTAAGAGAAGGACGAAGGAGGACAAGGACGAGATGGAAGGTCGACGAGAACGAGGTGGGGGAGAAGGGAGAGAGGGAGGGAGGAAGAGGGAAGTTGAATGTACATGTTTTGAGTGTAATGCATTACAAGTCACACGGTAGATAAATTTCTAACCCAGAGCGTGTTTTTAGTTCCTTGTAAGCCCAAGGGTGTGAGAGATAGTTTAAAATGAACCCAGGTGGCAAGTGAAAAACGTTATTAATTTCCATAATAAATTTCTATAACTAGTTACCGTTAGGGATACCTTTCCAAAAGCGATAGCACACACGTGCGCGTACGCGTGTGTGTGTGTGTGTGTGTGTGTGTGTGTGTGTGTGTGTGTGTGTGTGTGTGTGTGTGTATGTGTGTGTGTGTGTGTGTGTGTGTGTGTGTGTTTGTGTATGTGTGTGTATGTGTGTGTGTGTTTTATTTGGGAACAAGGAAAGGTGGGCAGGAGGAGCA